TGATCTACCTGATATTGACCTGTCATCAAGAAACAGAAATCTTTATTTTGAAGGATTATAATTCACTCTAAAATTAAAGTCTAATACAAGTGTCATTATTTAAGATTCCTCCTTTTGACTAACTTAATCATTTTCTAACCTATTCTCTTCAATTCAAAAGGAAGCCCAGAAAACAATCTGCCTTTAACTTGTCAGCAAGGTACTTACATTCACATAATGAAGAATAAAGGCCGATTTGCTAATTCTGCCTTGCACAGGAGCTCAGAATAATCTTTATCCCTAAGAAATCTGTAGGTAAAAGACAATTCAGCAACTAGTACTGTGCTAAAAATGAATATGAGCTTTAAAAGTTTTCAACATTCACAAGGGTACAGCTCAAGTGGCAGAGTGCATGCTTAGCATGCATAAGGTGCTAGATTCAATCCCCAGTACCTTCTCTAAAAATAAATAAATTAACCTAATTACCTCCTTCCCCTCACACAAAATTTTTTTTCAACATCAGCTACCAAAACTAGATTTGTAATACAGTTCTCTCTTTTCAGCTTAACAAAATAGAATATAGTATAGATTCTTGGTCTGTTGCTCAGTATCTTCATTGAAATTCTCTCCCAGAGAAGTTCATTGAGAGGACTCAATAGAGTCCATAGATGAGAAAGGAGGCAAGAAAATGGATGAAGTCTGACTGAATTATTTTGGTTTAATTCTCTAATCATGCCTTCCCCGTTTCTACTACTGTTTCTTCCCTATAGGAACACATTCATCACAAGTTATGTCTGCAGTTGTCTTCTATTTCTGTTCTTTTCCTTGATGAACTCACTAATTTGCACTGTTTCAACTATCACCCCTTAATCTCTCTAGCCCTGGGCTCTTTCCTAAATTGTCTTGCATTTTGTATTAGCAGCTGAATATCTCTGTCTTGATGTTCCACTAGCACCTCAAACTTCACATGCCCAAAACCAAAATTTTCATTTTCCCAAAAAAGACTTCCTGACTTATCACTTAACTTCTGTTAAAGGTATTATCATTCTTTTATCCTCAGCATCATCTTTGAATATTATTCCTTTTTTACTTCTAATATCTCATCCATTATAAGTCTTGTTGACTCTACTTCCTTCACCTCAGAATATCTCTGGAATCTCTTCCCTCCATATTTACCATTTCTACCATACACTCCAGTAATAACTGCTATTACTTCTCATCTAGACTATTACATTAGCCTCATAACTGGCCAGTAAATATTTGCTAAATGAATGCATGAAATGAAAATGAATGGTATCCCTATTTTAGGTCTCTCACCACCCTAATCCATCTTATATAACAGAATCAGATTAATTCTCTAAAGTACAGCTTTAACTTTATTACGCTTCTACCCAAAACAGAGATTCCTACTTCTAACTTAATTAAATTTTTGTTTTACAATTAAGGTATCTCACATTAACATTCGATTTATCCTTTTAAGTTTACTGCTAATTCCTCTGAAACATTATCCCCTCATTGGAGCAAAGCTGGAGTACTCCCTTCTCCATACATACCATATGTTCTTTCTCATCTTGTTCATTTATTCGTATATCTGTAACAATCCTGCTCATTAATCCAAGCCTATTTCAGACATTACTTCCTCTGTGAAACCTTTCCTGACTCCCCCCATCTTGGTGGTTCTTTCCTTTGAAACCCAATACTTGAATGATACTTCTTTTAAGTCATTTATGACCTACAATGTATTACGGCAATAAAAATAAAACTTGTCTTATCCTGTATAATTTGAGAAGAAATGTGCTTTATTTATATTTGAATATCCTGCAGGCCCAAGAACAATACTTGTATGACAGATACTCAGTAAATATTTTTAGGGTAGGGTAAAGAATGAGTAAATAAAAGAGAACATGCAGGAGATAGAAAAAAAAATAAGTGATAAAGCCTGGGTTCTAAAACAACATATTAACCCTTATACATAAGAGTGATAACCAAACTACAGCCAAATCATATCTAGACTTTTCAGCAGATTTTTTTTCTTTTTTTTTTTAACCGTATTTCTGATGGAAATCCAAATTTATTTTTATTTTAACATGTATAATTTGTCCTATTATATGCCAGGTACTGTTCTAAGTCTTTTAAATGATAATTTATTCAATTCTTATAACAACTCTATTTTACCTTATTTTACAAATTGGAAAACTGAGGAATGGAGACTATGCAATTTGTCCAAGGTTACAAGGTTAGTAAGTGGCAGAGCCCAGGAAGTCTGACTTGAGACTATAATATATACCATCACTATATATTGTACCTAAGGATACTTAACTGATTTTAAAATCTGAATAAACTGAAATGGCTTTTTCTTTTTTTTTTGAACAACAATATAACGTTTTCTATTCATTTATAATCATTTTACAATGTTGTGTCAAATTCCAGTGTAGAGCACAATTGTTCAGTTATACATAAACATACATATATTCATTGTCACATTTTTTTCTCTGTGAGCTACCATAAGATCTTGTGTATATTTCCCTGTGCTATACAGTATAATATTGCTTATCTATTCTACAATTTTGAAATCCCGTCTACCCTTTCCACCCTTCGCCCCCTTGGCAATCACAAGTTTGTATTCTATGTCTATAAGTCTGTTTCTGTTTTGTATTTATGTTTTGTTTTTTTTTTGTTTTTTGATTTTTGTTTTTTGTTCTTTTTTAGATTCCACGTATGAGTGATCTC